GAATGAATCTTGGATCATTATAGTCCCTAAATTGCTATAAGACACAAAACTTGATATTTGTTGCCACAGGTAGCAAGGATAACCTGCACTCCACTATAAAGTGAGTGGATAAATAAACCTGGCCAACTTTGCAAGCCTCTTAATTACACAAAGAAATGATCTCCAAATGCTCCACCTTTTGCCCAGCCACTGCTGGTGTAAATGCACATTGTTTATAATGGGTACAGAGAGGATACTTGGATTGTCTTTGTAAAATTTCAAACAAGTTAAAAGTATTACATATCCTTGTCCCAATGAGAATGCCGAGTATCAGGTTAGCACATTTCGTTTTAAGCGATGATTGTAAAGGGTGAAATAGAAAGATGCTGCATTATAGTTACTGTCGTTTAAATGACAGGCAGCAGCCACTTAAGGCCTGACTCACATTTGCGACCGTTCATGCCACATTTTTCACCTGCCAACTTACAGGCACGTAGAGGTTCCGCTAAAACTTCGATTATTCCAAAGGATGAAAGAAGTGTGATATTTTGATGTAGATCTTCAGTACCTATTATACTATGAGCCTTTGAAGGCTGAACAGGCCGAGTCATGAAAGGGACAAGAGGAAGTGAGAACAGTGGAAATGCAGCTGGAACATACGTAACGTTCTGCCTTCCCCGTTCTACGTGGAGAGTCTGCTTTCCGGGCAGCAGGTGGTGTGACTGTGAAAAGATCACACATCTGTCAGTAACTAGGTAGGATTTTTAGCACTGTTAGAGCCTAGCATTACAGATGTAGGGCAGCGAACAAAGTTCCAGAAACCAGATTTTAGACAAGTCTGACATTTTTTTGAAAATAATTTTCCTACCAAGGAAACCTTCTTGGTTCCCTGTTAGAGAAAACACTGTATAATTAAAATATTTAAAAATATAAAAGAATCGCTTCACAGCCACCAGATGAGCATCTGGCAGCAAAGCAACACTAAAATCTGTGTTGCTTTTTAAGAGCGTTTCTTCTGCCAGAGCAGAATTGCACAGACTTCCCATTTATGGCCTTTATGCAGAAGTCCGAGGCTGAATCTGGACCTACTTTTCCTGTCGCTTCTCAGCGGTATCTGGACAAAAGTGTGTTAAGTACATGAGAGATGTGGGGTCACGGAGAAGATAACCTAATACCCCAGCTACTTAAATAAATGTGAACAAGCTGTACCCAGAATCGCCCTGCTAAAAACTGGTAGCAGAAGTAGCTGAAGGCTGTTTTCCACATGTCACACAAATATTTCAGTCACTATAAATTTAATCACAAGCCCAACTAACAAGAAACACCAGAGGTCAGATTTTGTTGTGTTTTCCTCCCTCTTCCTCCTTAGTCAGAAAATGTTTAGATCCAGAAAGAGAAGGATCAGATCTTTGAAAGCCTCAAGTATTCCTCAAAGTCTTCTCACATAAAAAAAATCTTACTGGGGAATCACACATTTCCAAAATTATTTGTCTGTAAGTGGTCTTTCAAAATAAGAGTGTACTTTATTTACAGTCTACGTTTTTATTTTTAAAATCCCTCACAAGTCTTAATATGTTTGCAAAGCTTATGAACTACGTTGCAACTTTACTGAGGGTATGTGCTAGGGCCCTTCGGAACCTCCACAGGGGTCCAACTTCTCTGCCAACTCAGGAACACCCCCACCCCCCTACTATTCAGTACTATCGGGGCCGTGGGGTTTGCTGAAATTTGTTATAAACACGGACAATAACCTCTGGGGAAAGAAAGAGGGAATGAAAAGTATCATCGGGTTATATGTGTTCAAAAGTTCACTTGACAATTTTATCAAGGTATAGTTCTTCAGGGAACTGAAACTAGCTTTCAATTGGAGTTGGGGAGGCACATTAAACTCAACAGTTTGTGTATGAGACACCTGTGTAAAAAGAAAAACACACGAGACAAAGGCTCCTTAATTTGGGGAGGGTATATTCCAACGCGGGGGAAGGGGGGAGGCATTTCAGGTCTGAAGCTCAATCAGGACACTTCCAAGAGTTCTGCGGTCCCCCTCGTTGGACAGGACAGGATGTAAGGGCCGGTTTGGCCTGGCTGGACTCTCCAGTCCCTCTGCTGCACAAACAGTGTGTGACATGCAGGCAACTGCCGTGCCGAGCTGGCAACACTCCTGAGGCTCTTGAGTGTTTATCAACTCAGTAGGTCAAAAGTCTGCAGACACTGGGTGGAGCAGCAGTAAGCCACAAAACTAACGGTTGTCCTCCTGGAAGGGGAAAAAAGGAGAGAAGGACACTGTGAGTTCAAGATTAAAGTCTCAGGATTCTTTCCATTACAGAGAGTCTTTTTCTTTGTTAAAATAAAGGATTAGGTACGGTCAACACAGCACATAGCAGAAATGTAAATTTCCTTTTAAAATGGAGCCCTGGAATCAGGTAAGGAATGTGTGTGCTCATGTTATTAGCACTTTTCAGATGACATAATATCCCTCAGTTAACAGCAAAAGAAAAACAAGCTTTCTTCATGTTACAGTCAGCAGTCTGCTTACCAGAACCAACAATGCAATGATAGAATTTCAAATGCATTATAAAAATCATGTAACAGAAAACCTCACCAATGTAGCTAGAACACACATACACATACACACACACACACCAGAGAGCTTAAAAAACAATTTAAGGAATCTATCCTACAAATGTAGTCACAGAGATTGGTTCCAGAGGTGATCTCAGAATCTGAATAATAGAGTTTGAGGGTTCCCCTCCCAGCAAAGGCTTTACAAAAGGGGAATTTATAGCACTAAACACATATACTAGAAAAAAATGCTCCAAAATCAATAAACTAAGTTTTCACCAGGAAGTTGGAGAATAAAGAGCAATTTAAGTCCAAAGCAAGTAAAAATCATAGAGCATGTTCTCTGTCCACTATGGAGTCAAACTACAGATCAATAACAGAAAGACCACAGGGAAAGCTCCAAACCTGAAAATTAAACAACACTCTTGGACCTTTTCTAACCCATCGGTCAAATGACCGCTTTCCCGTGGGTTAAAGAGGCAGTCTCAAAGGATAAAACCTTACATGAACTGAATGGAAATGAAACTTACAACAAATCAAAAAATTCTGATATCAAGGGAACTATTCTGGGTCTATAAGACTGGTTGAACATTTGAAAACCAATGTCATCCACAATATCAAGAGGCTAACGAAGAAAAATGTATATGGTACTGATGGACTTAGGAAAAGCATTTGACAAAAGACAATATCTATTCATGTGGAAAACTCTCAGCAAACTAGGACTAGAAGGGATCCTTTTCAATTTAATAAACAGAATCTACAAAAAGAACTTGCTAACATATTTTATAGTGATGTTTACTTTCACCCCTTTGTTAACATGGGACTGGAGGTTCTAACCACTGTAATAAAGCAAGAAAAAGAAATAAAAGCCATACAGATTAATAAAGAAGAAATAAAACTATTTCTACTTTCAGATGGCATGACATGACTGTCTACACAGAAAATGCCATCTACAAAAACACTCCTAGCCTCTTAAGAAGATTCAGCAAGGTTTCAAGCACATAAGATCAAAATTTTAAAATCAACCATATTTCCATGCATGTGGAAGTTGAAATGAAAAACTGTAAGATAATATATAATCACACAAAGAAAGTGAAATACTTGGGTATCAACTTAACATGTAAGGACCCGTATGCTAAAAATGACTAAATGCTGATGAAAGAAAGAAAAGAATACCTAAATAAACAGAGAGACATACTATGTTCATGCACTGGAAGACTCAACATGAGTATGTTAATTCTTTCCAAACTGACCTATAGATTGAACGCAGTTGTTACCAAAATCCAGCACAAGAGTTTTTGGAGAAAAAGATAAGCTTATTATAAAAATTATATGGAAGAGCAGAGGCCCTAGAACAGTTAAAACAATCCTGAAAGAGAAGAATGAAGTGGAGGTATCACTTTACCTGATACATAACTACAGTAATCAAGACAGTTTGGTATCGACTGAGAGACAGACACAGATCAGTGGAATGGAAGAGAGAACACCAGAGAACATCTTCAGGATGCTGGGGTAGGTAAAGATTTCTTAGGACACAAAAAGCACTACCTATAAAATTAAAATGGATAAATCTGGCTTGATCAAAATGAAAACCTTCTGCTTTGCAAATTACACTCATAAGGAAAAGGCAAGCATCACTTTTGAGATTTTAACCTAGACTTTCTTAATTTATATAAATTTTAAGTTATTAGATACTTTGTATTACTTTAATTTTTTAAAAAATATTTTCACTGGTTAGAACTCGAGTTCAGATAATTTGCTATACCAGAATGTATGTATTTGTATACATCACAATTGAAAGAAAACTCTGACACAAAATGATCTTAAATGACAAGTGCATTTTTGAGGATCAGCTAACTAATCTTAACACTGCTTTTTAAAAAGATAATTATGTGAAGCAAAATCATTCCTAGAAGTGATACATTTCATACCACAGTCATAGAATTTTTAAAAAGGTCTAAGCAATAGAATCCAAATCTATAGACATGTGGGATTTTTACTCACTGAAGCATAATGCCCTTTGGATTGTCATTAACTCCTTATGATGCACGCTCAAGGGGGTAGGGTGGGTAACCTGGAAGAGTGGTATTTGTGCTACAAAGAAATCCCAAGTCTGTGAACTACTTACTTTTGGGAGACTCATATAATAACACATTGTACCTGCATTAATGATCTAAGTTGTCACAAGGATATCACCAAGTCTACTGCCTTCAGAATGGATCTGTGTTGGGTAGGTTCTTTAAAATGCCAGAACTGTGGCACTAGAGATGTGATAGTTTTAGGGGAGATACTTTTTTTAAAAAAATATATCTTTATTGATTTCAGAGAGAGGAAAGGAGAGGGAGAGAGAGAGATAGAAACATTAATGATGAGAGAGTCATTGATCGAGCCCGCAGCCTGGGCCTGTGCCCTGACCGGGAATCGAACCCCGATCGCCTGGATCCTAGGTCGATGCTCAACCGCTGAGCCACGCCCGGCCGGGCAGGGGGACATACTTTGAGCTAAGCAATCAACTGTACAGTTATGAAAGAAATGCTGATAAATTCTACAAAAAACATCAGACATGACATTTGTTGCTTTAGAATCTGAGCATATTTATAGGCAAGGCTGAAGAAAGAGCATTTCAGCTTACTTTTTAAACACAGAAATACCACTATTCTAAAAAAATAAATCATAATCTTGTTGGCGCATATTGGAGCCCACAAAAATCATAAGAAATGTGGTATTTTTATTGCAAATGTGTTTCCTTATTAGAAACAAAAAGCATATCCTTGACTCATACAGGAGTTCAAGCCAAAAGAATATTAATATTTATTAGACAGAGTTGATCAGAGAAAACCACAAGCCTGTGTACATATTAACTATGGGAGAATCATCTAATAACATATTGTATCTGCTTGCTATATTTATGTTAACTCTCTCTCATGGGAAGATTCCGTGTGCAGAACCACAGCCTTAAATATTGCTTACTGGCTTCTCTACTTGATCGGTCCATGCCCTAGAAATTTAGGAGTGAGATATGTTATGAGAAAAGAAGTTTCAGATGGTTTGGTCATAGTTTAAATCCCCAGTACCTAGTACAGAGTTTGGCACATAGCAGATGGTCAATACATAATTGTTGAGTGATACAATGAAGAAACAGTTAAGAACAATTTATATAAGTCTCTTGAAAAATATTTTAAAATATTTAAAAACATTAAAAAAATGTTATAAAGCTATACTAAACAAAACAGCATGGGACTGGCATAAAGACAGATATATAGCCCAATGGAACAAAACAGCCTAAAAATAACACCCCCTCACGCACACACAGTCAACTGATCTTCCACAAGGAAACCAAGAATACAAAATGGAAAAAGGACAGTCTCTTCAACAAATGGTGCAGGGAAAACTGTGTATCCACATGCAAAAAATGAAACAGGACCCTTATCCTACACAAAAAAACAACTCAAAAGGGATAACAGACTTAAGCGTAAGACCTGAAACTATAAAACTAGAAGAAAACATAGGGGAAAATCTTCTTGACGTTGGTCATGGCAATGATCTATGCATAGGACACCAAAAGCACAAGCAACAAAAGCATAAATAGTGAGAGCACATCAAACTAAAACGCTTCTGAACAGCAAAAGGAAAAGGCGACTTATAGAATGGAAGAAAATGTCTGTCCCGCTGTTATATACTGGAAGTGGAAAACTTGTCCAGTTTTACAGGTTCATAGCTAGAAAGGAGTTCTGCCCATAAAGAATCATACCCAAGTTTTACAAATACCTGATGTAGATACTTAAGATGAGATTTTGAATTTAAGAGTTGATGCTAGAATGGGTTAGGATTTGGGGGGCGTTGGAAAGGGGTGAATTTATTTTGCATGCAAGAAGGACATGAATTTTTGGAAGCCTCCCAAATTCATAAGCTGGAGTCCTAACCCCCAGTACCTCAGAAAGTGACTGCTATGGACTGAACTGTGACCCCCCCCCTCCCCATTTCATATGTTTAAGCTCTAAACTCCAATGTGATCGTATTTGGAGATGAGATGAGGGCTTTGGGACATAGATTTCCATGAGGCCAGGAGAATGGGGCCCTCATGATGGGATTAGTGCCCTCATAAGAAGAGAAACCAGAGAGCTTGTGCAAGCTCTGTTCACACTCTTTCTGCCATGTGAGAAAGCAAGAAAGTCTTCAAACCAGGAAGAGAGCCCTCACCATAACCTGACCATGTGCAGCCCAAATTTGTACTTCCAGCCTTCAGAACTATGAGAAAACCAATTTCTGTTGTTTAAGTCACCCAATCCATAGGATGTTATGGTGCCTGAGCAGAGTGATACACTGACCTTTTTGGAAACAAGATCATTGTGGGTATATAAGTTAGGATGAGATCATTGGAGTGGGCTCTAATGCTGTATCACTGGTGTCCCTATAAAAAGGGGAAATTCTAACACAGAGACAGACATATATAGAGGGAAGGTGATGTGAAGAGAGGAAGAGGGCCAACTACAAGACAAGAAAGAGGCCTGGAACAGATCCTTCCCTCACAGCCTAAGAAGGAACCAATCCTGCCAACATCTTGATTTCTAACTTCTAGCCTTCAGAGCTGTGAGACAATAGATTTCTTTTGTTTAAGTCACCCAGTTTTGTGGTATTTTGTTGAAGTATCTCTAGCAAACTAATACAATACCCCTGAAAAACCTTCAGTAACCTAATTTCAGATTGGGAAATACAGAACTTCTGAGAATCATACATGCATGGAAAAAGCCAAGATACATGTTGTTATAGTGATAAATAATCCTCTAAGTTGGTGCTCTTCATTTTAATAAATGAACAATAGTCCTTGTAAGGATCAAAAGTTATCAATATGCCAATCATTCTTCTCTGCTATAGATATTTGAAGGTTTGGGTATTTATTATTTATGTAAAATTATAGTAACTTCTTTTTATTTCACTCTGTATTAAATTTAGATTGGAACTAACGCTTATATGGGACTTGGTATTTTAGAAGAATATCAAATATGTTCTTTTACAATAATGCCAGATGTTCATATTAATTTAACATTGGCTGAAACAATATATTATTTTATGACAAGCAATGCAAACTTAACTAAATGTATTAGAAAACATAAAAAATAAGATTACCAAGACCTTTCAGAGTTTACGATATTAAAAATACTGATTTTACTTTCAGCAATAAGGTACTGAGATTCTAGTACTCTATCTAGTTTTCAGTTACCAAAAAAGTACTTTAAAGACTATGGTAGAAACTGAAGTCAATGCTTTTAATACAATCTCCATAGCAACATGGGAAGGAGCAAAGTCTGGTGGACCAAATGAAAGCCACAAACTCTCAATTTGAGACCCTAGCATTAACTCACCACAGAGAGCCATGTTTATATCTTGGCATATTATCTCTGCTATAAACACAGGCACTTCTGGCTTTGCTCAACAAAAGGGCATGGGCTAAGTCCTATGTATTTGATACATGCATTTTATTAAACTAATATTATTATATTTATGTTCTGAAACAATATAAGATTATTTGCACTGAGTTTCTGAATACATAAAAGTAACTGGAATATGCAAATACTAAACAAGTTTCCCAAATTTCATATTAAAGTTAACACAGAAATGACTTCATTTGAAGGACCTACTTTACTTTCACAAATTAATTACCATGATAAAAAGGAAGTTTATCTTTTTAAAAGGGTATTTAAAATTTTATTAGCTACTAACAGTGCATCCTGACCATACTGAACTGTTTTCATTTTCTTAATTTGGGTAAGAAAATATCTTCTATAGGAAATTGTGAAATAACAATGCATTAGGGTTTTACTATAGTTTAATGAATTAGTTGATTTTCCTACTATGATATCTTACTAATATAAAGATACTATTACTAATATCAATATTTGCTAATATACACAAAATTTTTTTTTAAAGTCTCAGACTAGATTTGAGTAGTGAGCACACAATGCAATATACAATAGTATATGATAGAATCGTACACTTGAAATTCACATAATCTTATTAACTAATGGCACCCCAATAAATTTAATTAAAAAATTCTGAGTTACAAAAATAGATAATAGTTAACATTTACTTAGTATTTATTACATATCAGGCACCATCCTGGGCTCTTTACATGAATCATCTCAATCCTCACAATGACCTTATTAAATAGATATTATTATGTTCATTTGCTGATGCAAAGGTGAAGCTCAGAGAAGCTAAGTAATTTGCCCAAAGTCTCCCAGTGGAGGGGTCATTATCAGGGCCTGTGCACTTGACCAGTAGGTGCTGCTGCTCCTTGTAGAAGTGCCTATTTCATTTTTAAATTTTATTCATGTTGTACGTAATATACTCAGACCCTGACTCAGTTCTTCTAACTGTAATTGAAATGGAATTCCACTATATTTGGCAATCTGATCATCTAGGATTAGAAGGAGCGAATTAGAAAGGTTTGGAGGAGGGCTTCTGTCTGCAGGCACAGTAACCCAGGAACCCTTAAAACAAGAGATGTTGAAACAGGAACTGAAAGGACAGCAAAATAGGATTACTCAGGGTAAGAAAAAGATAAATGTAGTTTTGGGTGGGAGTGGGTAGAGAGATGGAAAAGGTAACTGTCATTGTTGAACACCTATTATGTGCCAGGAGTTTGTCTTCCTCATCTGCTAAGCCTCCTGACGACCCTGCCTAGCAGGCTGTTCTGACCCCATTTTGAGGCTCAGAGGGGTTCAGCACCTGCCCACGTTCGCTCTCATTCTAGAAAAATGGTTAAAAGGAAACACCTCTTGGCACTGAATAGAGGTAACAAGTTATCTGGAAAATGTACTAACCCAAAATACCACACTTGAGGGATAAGTAAGATATTATAGTACTCTTTTTTTTTTTTTTTAACTTTGAAAAATGCAAACTTAGAAAACCTTAAATTTAGAAAAATCTATATGCTGTGGTTGTGCTAATAGGGGATTTTTCATTTGCTGCCCTATTTTTAATTGTCTGGTGCATTTTTTTTTAACTACCAGTATGGGGTTTTTTATTTAGTGAACATTTTTAGCAAATTCAAGGCATTGTGCCAAGAATCAGAGTGGCAAGAGAATGCCATTTGGAAGGGTTAGCAATTCAAAATGCCCACACACACACAGGTCAGCCACACACTTTCAGTTAGCATGCCCATTGAACAGAAGGGCTGTCCAGTCCCATTCTATAATAAATATTTTTTTCTTACATTCCTTATTGCCTGAGGACTGTTGTGAACAGGGGAAGGGCAGAAAAACACTCCTGCAAAAAATGAGCTACTCTAAATAATACATGCAATAAAACTGCTCTGTATACGAGCAAAAAAGTAATAAAGGGGAGACCAGTTTTCTTACGATGCTGAAAATGTGCACGTCTCCTTGTGTTGTATCTCAGGAAGCCCTCTGTGCCTCGATATAGCTGCTGACTGCACAATACTTTCATGCATGTCGCTCACCCCTCCCTGAACGCCCACCCCTCGCCCAGGTATAAGCCCTGGTGCCAACTCAGGTATTATTACCCCTGGTGCAGCCCCGCCATCGGCGTCTCCCTCAAGGGAAAGAGCTTGGGGTAGACAATCGTAAACATGGGCTCACTACACCGGTGACAGTGCCCCAAGGGACAGTGCAGCAGCTCCAGGAGACTTCTGGGTAACGAGATGGGCGACAGAAAGTTCAAATCTGGAACACAAGGGAAAATCATGCATGAGTAAAAAAATCAGATTTTTAAAAAAATTATTATTTTTAAATTTTTGTTCAAAATATCACAGATGTCCCTTTTTCTCCCTAATGACCCATTATAGTACTACGCTTTTAAAAATATTTCTCTTTGTTACCAAGTCAGTTTGGTTAGTTAAAAGTACTGTATGTTGAAAATTCTTTTATCTGCGAGGCACGGAATAAAAATGTAACATTATTTAAAAATGAAAGATGTTTTTACATTCTTGATACCGAGAGAAACCCTAAATCTACTCTTTTAAGAGCAACCAGAAGCTGTCTTAAGGTAGAGGCAAGGAAAGGACAAGACCAAATATTCTTTGACAAAAAGGATCAAAAAGGCCTGATTTTACCAGAGAAGCTGTATAAGCTTCTACAAGAGACAGAGAATTAAAGGGACTGGACTGAAGGTTAAAATGAACTTTCATTAAGTTCTTCCGAAACCTGCTGGGCACTGAGAACCAATCAAGCTAAATCATATTTACGGAAAAGAATGAAAGAAGGAAAACAAGAAAATTAAGACGAAAACTAATGAAGCCAAGCTCTTCCTTCCCTCCTTCCCACGAGCTGCCATTAATCAAACAGGGCGCTCCCCGCTCCGCTCAGCCAGAGCTGCACAAAAGAAACAGAAACGTGTGAAGCCAAACACCGCAGGAAGCCAAACACCGCAGGGCCCGCCAGCTGGAGCCCAGACGCACCTGGGTGGCTACCGACTTCAGGTGACACCCAGTGCAGGCGGAAAGGGCCGTAAGGAGACGGACCCTCAACGTCCTCGCCTCATCTTGGAAGGGAAATACAAATGACCTTGTCATCTTTCCCATACCTGTCCAGGCTTATCAATAACTATTTAGAAAAATGAAATTTACTCCTAGGTGAATATAATTTTTGTTTAGTTTTTAAAAAACAGCTTGATTTCGTACTAGCTATTCCTGGAAGATGAATGTTAGGTGTTTTTTTTTTAATGGACTTTCTGTTTTAAAGCAAGTAAAACATTTAGCAGTTTTAAAAATACTTGAGTCCTGGCCAGTGTGGCTCAGTTGGCTGGAGCATCAGCCCACACACCAGATGGGTCACGGGTTCGATTCCTAGTCAGGGCACATACCCCGGTTACGGGTTCAATCCCTAGTCAATCCCATACAGAAGGTGACTGATCGATGGTCTCTCTCTCATATCTCTCTCTGTCTCTCTTCCTTCCTCACTCTCTAAAATAAAAAAATAGTAATAAAAATACTTGAAATGTATTTTTCTTTTAAAAAAAAATTACTGATTGATTGATTTTAGAAAGAGAGGGAGGTAGGGAGAGCAAGAGACATGGATTTGCTGCTCCCCTCATTTATGCGTCATTAGTTGCTTCTTGTATGTGCCCTGACGGGGGATCAAACTCACAACCTTGGGGTATCAGGGCGACGCTCTATCCACCTGAGCTGCCCAGCCAGGGCTAATACTGCCTTTCTTAAAGCATCTCAGATATCCACTCCACACCTATGACACCTACGCACTGCCAAGTCCTTTCCAAACCAAGAGCTGGCATGCTGTGGTAATCCTGCAGCAACACTGAAGGCAGTTTCCTGGTATTTCTGCCCCCTTATATATATATATATATTTCTCAGATATGAGGAGGTTGTAAGGCAAAAATGTGTCCTTCTGGGAGAGGTACCCAACTGTGCCTTAAGGATAAGATCTTTGAGAATTTTTCCCTACTGAAGAAAGTGCCCCTGCCGGGCTTCTTCATCCACCTAATATACATCCCCAAACATCGGTTTCCTTTATGAAAACCACAGGGTTTAGTTTAACTTTTAACCTCTGTCCTTTGTGACTGAAGACCGTGTTTGAATGAATGCTCCTCTGTCTACTGGGAGTGAGTGCTGAGGGGATCAGTGTTGATAAAATAGTAAAGCTTTTTTTGTTATAAAAAAAAGGACCATTGCACAACAATGTGAATGTACTTAATGTCACTGAGCTGAACACTTAAAAATGGATGCAATGGTCAATTTTATGTTGTGCATATTTTACCACAATAAAAAAAAAAAAAAAAACCACCACCAAAACAGGCCACATGAAACGCAGTTCCTGCGTTCACTAAGAGCAGAACAAAAAGAGTCGCGTGTACCTTTCAGAAAACTGTGGCAGGCGTGGTGCAGCCTCCGCATGGCCAGCTCCTGCAGAGGCAGGATGTGGTCCTTCTCCGTCCCTATGGCCTTCACCTCGGCGGGGAGGAAGACGGTCAGTTGCCCTGATGAAAAGGAAAGCAGCTTCACCTCGGAAACTTGGATGGGAGCACCGCAGCTGCAGAAAGACACGCATTCACAGTCGGATTAGCGGAAAGGAAAAGACTACGTGTGCCGATAAAAATGTGTTAATCAAAATATACGTTTAAAATGTTAAGACGCTGCTGAATTGCTAGGATTCTTTTCAAAGTGAACAGATGCTCTCCCAGGTTCCTTAATAAAACCTGGCACTGCAATCTAAATTCAACAGTTGAAACTGAACGAAATCATTGCTGAGGTCCAGTTATTTCCAGTAAGGACAAACTTATTTTTTTTAATCCTCACCAAGGCTATTTTTTCCTTTGCTTTTCAGAGAGAGTGGAAGGGAGAGAGAGAGGGAGAGAAACACTGATGTGAGAGAGACACATTGATTGGCTGCCTCCTGCATGCGTTCTGGCCTGGCTGGGGATCGAGCCTGCAACCGAAGTACGTGCCCTTGGCCAGAATCGAACCCGGGACCCTTTAGTCCGCAGGCCGACACTCTAACCACCAAGCCAAACCGGCCAGGGCTCAGGACAAACTTTGAAGGAACTTTCCTTCACAGGATCGACACAATTTGTTTTGTGAGTTCTATTTACCCTCATTTTATGACTCTCTTCGTGTTCATGTTTATTGAAATTTTCAAAATTAAAAGGAAAAAGAATACTTTGTTAAGTTGGTTAAATAGAATTTTTTTGGTGTGGAAAAATACCCTACAAAGCAAAGAGGTTTTTTAAATGGTAGAAGATAACTTTATTGGATCCTTTCATAAGCTTGTGGTGAAAATATTCTTGGCCAAGCCCACTGACTGGCCTCGCCACACCCTCGTCCCTGCAGCTGCCACAGGGCTAGCAGAGCTCAGGAGTCTGACCTCAGCCCCGTCCTGTCTGAGACACGGGGTCACCTGGAAGTCTTCACAAGTTTCTCCTCTAATGACAAACTGGTGCCAACAAACCTTGGCTCTCCAGACATAACGTGGGATGATCTCTCCAACCTCAGCGAGAAGCAGGCAGCAAAGGAGAGGGGCACGGGGCTGAGAAGAAGCCCTTGGCTCGTTTGTTCGTTACCAAGTTCCTTCTTTCGCTCCTTCCTTCCACTAGAAAATGTTTCCAGAGTACCTTGTATACCAGTGACTCAAGATACTTAAATTAAAAACAAAACAAAACACATACACACACACAACAAAATACCCCCTTTCCTTGGAAAATGTAATAATTACAATATAATTGTTCTAATGTTGGGTCAGAGAAGATGGAGTGACTGATCCTGTCCAGGGAATTAAGGAAGATTTAAAGATTTTACAGAGGAGATAATATCTGATCTAGAGCCCATCTGATTTCAATCATCAGACTTTTCTCCACTCAGCTCAAGAGAAAGAAGCTCAGGACCCCTCTAACAGGCAAAACTCGTATCCCAAAGAGAACGGCCACTCTAAATTCTCACATTATAGTTTAGTTCTGCCTTTTTCAACAGCATGAAGTCTTCTTTGTCTGGGTCCTTTCTGCCAACGTTCTATTTCTGGGACTCAGCCATGTGGCTGTATGGACCCTGCTTTACTCATTTTCATTGCTATGAAGCACTTGATAACCATTTGGCCTGTTTTCCAGTGTGGGGCTATTATGAACATTTTTGTGTACATTATTTGATACATATGAGCATAAAATTCCATTAGCTACATACACAGGATCAGAATTGGGCTTATTATAGTGGGTTGAGACAGACGATAAAGAGATGCACATATAAAAAGAGTGACAGGGCAGTGAGGTCTGTATGCTACTTCAGATATAGTCAAAGGAAGTTCTTCTGAGGAGGTGACATCTGAGCAGGGACCTGATGAAGAGAAGAGGTAACTGAGAGAACAGAAACTAAGTCACAGGCTGGTAGGTGCCTTACACTGAAAATAAGGAACTCAGAGCTCAGGTGTCATCACTGGTTTGTCTCACAATGCATGCTTGTACAACTTTAGTTTTTAGATTCTTCATAAAGGAATGTCTCCTGTGAGTTCAATAAAATTCACTGCAGGACAGATTTTTAAAAAAGCAAAGCAACTAGAATAGTCAAACAGTTTTCAAAAAAAATTGGAGGACTAATACCACCTCATTTTAAGACTTACTGTAAAACCATGGTAATCAGCACAATGTGGTACTGGTGTCAGAACTGACAAAAAGATCAATGGAGCAGATACGGTATCCAGAAACAGACCCACATACATATGTACAACTAATTTTCAACAAAAGTACAAAGGCAATAGAGTGGAGAAAAGATAGTATTTTTAACCAAGGGTGTCAGAACAACTGTATATCCACATGCAAAAAAAAAAGGATCTTCAACTATACCTTATACCATATACAAAAACTAACTGAAAATAAATCACAGGCCTAAATGTAAACCTAAACCCTTAAAAATCCTAGAAGAGAACAGATGAGTATTTCTGGGGGTTATAGAGCTATTACCCTTATGAACCATTTGTGACGATGATGAAATGAATCTAAATTTTACTTTATAATTATTGCTTCTTTCCTAATATGGAGAAAATGAAGATGAGAGGATCATATCCAAAATCCTATTATACCATGTGGCCACCAAGTCCGGAAACAGGCGAAAACATAACAAGTGATTCTTTTGATGATGTACTACAATGCGTGGTGTGATGCTTAGATTTTCATATAAACTTGGCAAGGCCACGGTACTCTGATATTTGGTCAAACACCAGTCTAGATGTTGCTGTGAAGGTATTTCTTGAAATGAGATTAACACTTAAATCAGGAGACTTTAAGCCTCATCCAATCAGTTGAAGGCCTTAGAGAAAAAGACTGAGGTCCCTCGAGGAAGAGGGAAATCTGTCTCCAGAGTGTCTTCAGACTCGAGCTGCCACATCGGTTCTTCCCTGGGTCTCTGCCTGCCTATAGCTTTCAGACTTACCAGCCCTCACAATCACATAAGCCAATTCCTTAAAATAAATCAATCTCCCTCTCCCTCTCCCTCTCCATCCCCTCCCCTCATTCTATCGGTTCTGTTGTTATGGAGAACACATGGTAAAATATTATTTGTTTCCAAACTTTATAGCCACACTGTAGTATGAGAACCCTGAGCACAACCATAAAACAATGAAAATGTATGGTGTGAAAGGCAAGGAAATCATTCGTGAATATTTCATACTGTAGTTACCTTAACAGCTGCTGCTTAACCCAACCATGGGTGAACTCTACATGGATGCTGCCTGAAGAATTTAACAATACAGAGTAACAAATCAAGGTCTGGAAAACTGAAAACCAGATTTTCCTAATGCTTCCCTGGTCTCCAATAATTAAAAAGACAGGGGTCTGACTGAAACGACGAAAACGGCTCACGTTAACAAGTAAGTGGATTCTCATTTTGTATAAGGTCTAATTTCCCTTTGACAATTCTCTTAGCAGAGGTTCCTACTCTTTGCCACTGGATATAAAGAGCTAATTAAATCCATTTTAGGATCCATCTATTAAATGCCTTCTCTGCCTAATAGGAGAGAAGAGAGCAGCTATACAGAATATGGGCTGCAAGGGAGGGACTCGCAGGACCTAGGGGCCTTTCTGCTGCCATGGCTTTCACACCGGCTTTATCTCAGACCCCTGGTCTACTCCTTCCCTTCCCTGGTCCAAAGCAGCCCCCCCCCTCTGACTTGGAATGGGGAAATCCCTTTGCATATACACAACAGATAAAACAGATAAAAGAAGGGGGCCCTTAATTCTGTTGTCAAGGCTTCAGTAGTCATCACCTATTAGAAGTCTAAATATGTTTTGCCATAAAACATTGTTTAAGTGGTTGTGAAATGGGTTCTATGATTTAACATTGTTTAAGTGGTTGTGAAATGGGTTCTATGATTTAACATTGTTTAAGTGGTTGTGAAATGGGTTCTATGTTTTAACATTGTTTAAGTGGTTGTGAAATGGGTTCTATGTTTTTATTGATTTTTAGAGAGAAAGGAAGGGAGAGGGAGAGAGAGATAGAAACATTGATGTGAGAGAAACCATTGATCGACTGCCTCCTGCACACCCCTGACTGGGGATCGAGCCTACAACCCAGGCATNTTTTTATTGATTTTTAGAGAGAAAGGAAGGGAGAGGGAGAGAGAGATAGAAACATTGATGTGAGAGAAACCATTGATCGACTGCCTCCTGCACACCCCTGACTGGGGATCGAGCCTACAACCCAGGCATGTGCCCTGACCTGGAATTCAACTGGTGACCTCCTGGTTTAGGGGTTGAGGCTCAACCACTGAACCACACCAACTGGGCTTGTTATATGATCTTTTAATGAGCAATTGTGGAATAGAAGCACCAGAATGGCATCTATGAGAAATGCATATTGACTTAAACCAACAGACTAAAAAATGTCTTTGGATCCCAGTTCATTTGTAAGTGGGGTTGCCTACCCTCCAAAACTACCAATATTAGAAACTGATTGTTTGGTACCCTCCTTCTAATAATTATTTTATTTTATCACTACTATCAAAGGAAGACGCTAATAATGATGATGATAAACTGTAGACTACTAGCTAAAAATGTACATATTTTGCTCCACTGTTTATTTTCTCAAAGATTTGGAGCTCTCAGAAAATTCTTTCTCTGCTACCAGATACCAAGTCAAGGATTAAAAAGTATCTCTCTGGCCCTGGCCGGTTTGGCTCAGTGATTAGAGCGTTGGCCCGAGGACAAAAGGGTCCCGGGTTCAATTCTGGCCAAGGGCACGTACCTCAGTTGCAGGCTCGATCCCCGGCCCTGGTGGGGGCGTGTGCGGGAGGCAACCAATTGATGTGTCTCTCTCACATCAGTGTTTCTCTCTCTCTCTCTCTCTGCCCCCCCTTCCACTCTCTCTGAAAAGCAATGGAAAAAAATGTCCTCGGGTAAGGATTAAAAAAAAATCTGTCTCTCTGCTCAGAACAAACAGAACTTTCTGGCAGTCAGCAACATCCCCATCTAAACACCGAAGCAGGAGAACCTTTATCTTAATCATGGTAGAGACTAGATACGTTGCAGGAGTCTCTGAAGACTGTTTGGTGCAGGAAAATGGCCTTATCCTCGGGGCTGCCTTGCACCACTCCATGTATCTTGGTGATTGAGGGCATTTTACTCACCCCCTGGAAGAATTAGGCCATATTGCAGATCCTTGAGGATCTCATTAGGATTAATGACCACGGAGTATCACAGCTGTCACATCAGCTGTAGAAAAACCCACCACACATTCTATTATCTCGGATTCTCAGAAGGTTCTGGAATATAACACTGGGCTGGTATTTCATCAGCCTATGCAGGCACTGAACTCATCTAGGGTTCATCTAAGATACAACTGTGTGACTTTTCCTAAGGGAAGGCCACTACTCCTAGGATGGCCCTCTCTGGAGCAGTCGCTGCGCAGTGCCCATCCCCTGGAGCCACGCCAGCAGGGTAGAGGCTGTTCTCCGTGTACAAGCTTTTCGCCATCCCTGGTCTGGCCAGAACTACATATACTATGAGCCCAGTTACGCAGGGTGCTGGGATTACAAAAAGAGATTCTAACACGCTAAGTAGCCTCAAAGGTGTTCCAAGTATCCTTTGGCTGTTTGAGGGAGGGAAGTGAGGCCAGTCCAAAGCAGGGTCTGGAAGCTGAGTTGTCCTATATTAACCCCAAACCACTCTGGGAAGCACTTGAAGGTGGCTCTGTCCCGCTGCTGTGGGAGGAGCTGAAGCTGTCTTTTTAAAAGCCCGACTGGGAAGGAAAGATTATCGCTGCTCTGAAAATAAGCGCCGATCATTTCCCATTAAATGAAACATCTGCTCTGGTTGCTAGAATCATGATTTGTACTGAGGGGCTATTTCAAATGCTGAGTTCTAAATATTTCCAAGTGGTAAAGTTCTGGATATGAGGGTGTTACTGTAGTAAAATTGTCACTGCAGCAGAGCGCAGAGAAAGAGAAGCTTTTAAATTAATGCTGACACTGCCCATTTCTGTGTCTGATACTGCATTTATAATGATATGCAGAGATTCATTCTTTTCTTTCAACTGGAAAATAATAAACAATGTACTGACTGAACTCCCAGCTTACTAGCTGAACTTGAATTAAACACTCTAAATTGCTTGCCCAATATTCTTAGCTTCTAAAGGTATGTGGTTTAGCATATTAAGGCCAGAGACAAAACTGAACAGGAATATCAAAACAGTTAATCTCTTCCACAGTTTGATCAAGACCAAATAATGAAATGGAAACAAAGGTAGCAAAAGAGCTGAGCTATAGGATAAAATATGAAATCCGCCTTACCCACTGCACCCGATGACCTTATTGTACAGGTAGGATGGCAGGCCTTTCAGATGAATGTTGTTATCCACATACACGTATTGTAGTTCTCGAGATCGACCTAAATCTGGATCAGAAAGAAAAGTACTGTAATTCCTATAACTAAGCACCAATATAAAAATTGCAGGTTTAACTCTGTGAAATTATGTCAGCTGGAAATTTAGATTCTGCAACAGAAAACATGACTGTAGAAAAATTACTTAACCCACCTGGACCGTGATTTCTTAAACTGTAAAATGAAATACCTGGAAATAGAATATCAATTTCCTTCCCACATAAGAATTCTATTGCTTTTAACAACACTTCTTTAAAATTGAGTTTTAGAGAGAGAGGGAGAGGGATAGAGATCGAAACATCGATGAGAGACAAACATCATTGATCCGCTGCCTCCTGCACATTCCCTACTGGGCATGTGCCTTGATGGGGAATCGAACCGTGAGCTCTGTTCCTAGGTCAAAGCTCAACCACTAAACCACACCAGCTGGGCTAAACACTTTTAATTTAAGAATGAAGTTTGTTATAGGTCATCTCGTTAGTTTCACTTTTTTCCATAGAAAAAATGTTAGACAAATGAAGTCAGCAGGTCAGCCTAAACAAGCCAAACTCTGCCCCTAAAATCAAGATCACTGGGTCTCACCTCCCCCGGGCAGAAAGATGGGAGGAGGGGTAAGGAAGGGCTAGAGACCAGGCACTGCCTGGGCTGGGGTCTCAGGGAGCCAGGCAGATGTGGGAGTAGATAACTGCCCATGGCTGCAGGGGGGAGAAAGAAACAAAGGGAACCCCAAATCCCAGTCCTCTGGTGAGGTGTGAAGGGTAGGAGGACAAGACTTGCAGGCCAGTGAGTGGGGACTGGAATGGGTATGTACCAGGAAGGGGAAAGGTGAGAAAGAGGATCCGGAAAGTAGGGTCTGCAGCAGAAGCCAGGAAGAAATAGAATCCAGATATTTTCCAGAAGTAGCTGGGCAATGGGAGAGCAAAGCCTGGAGGAGGATTCGATGAGAAAACAAGACGTAAAGTATTGAAAGTCACCTCTGGCCAACATCTGCAGCAGAGACACTCCAAGGGTCAAGATCATCCCTTCCTGTCTACTGCATGCCCGAGAACGTTTACTAGGCTTTCCTTCCCACTCTAGGCATTCACTGGGCAGGGCTCTTTGTCTTCATTGTCCCAGAACAGGGTCCTCAGCAGCCTTGCTAATCCTCTGCTCCCTGAAGAGAGACTATCATCTGTGAAAATTTTCCTAGAGCTCTGCTTGTGAAAATAGGAAACAGGCAATGGGCTGAAGGAGATCCATACCCCTGGTCCTTTGGTTTAAAGAAGACAAAGCCCCAGACAGCTCAATTAGGAGCCTTAAGTGTATTTATATTTCAAAAGAAAAACCATTTCCCCATTACAGACCTTTTAGGCACTATGACAGACCTTGAGGATATAGATATGAATACAATTTAAAAACTATGAAGACAGACATGAAAGTGATAACTGTAATACAATCTGACCATTGCTATTAAGAGGCTTTATAAAATCTTACAGGTTCACAGATGGATCTAGACAATTTGTTACAGAAAGTGGGAGGGGGGTTAATATGTGATTGAGGGTAGGAAGGGTTCTTCATGGGAGAGGGTAGAGAGGGTTAACATCACACCTCCTTTCCACGTTAGTCTTGTCACAATAATCCTGCCCAGACTAGCCGGGTGTGGCTCAGCGGTTGAGCGTCGACCTAGGATCCAGGAGATCAGGGTTAGATTCCTGGTCAGGGCACATGCCTGGGTTGTGGGCTGCAGCTGATCAATGACACTCTCATCATTGATGTTTCTATCTCTCTCTCTCCCTCTCCTTTCCTCTCTCTGAAATCAATAAAAATATATTAAAAATAATAATAATAATAATAATCCTGCCCAGAACAAGCCCTGGAACAAGTTAAAAAGAGAAACTAAAACTGGGAGCTCTGGGGGCAAGCAGTGAAAGGGGAAGTGGCTACTCATAGAGAGAAAGAATTACTGGGCTACTGGCTAGAGGTGCTCTTTCCAGTGTGTGGTTTTTCAATATCTAAAAAACAGAACAGGCAGACGTGGTATGTGATTTCAGGAAGTCAGTCACAAAGGGCACTGTGGCTTCCTCTTTGCTCTCTCCCTGGGACCACTCATTCAGGAGGAAGACAATTTCCTTGTCATGAGTGCAGCTTTCTGGAGAGGAAATGAGGTCTCCAGCCAACACCACGTGGGTGCGCCATCCTGAATGGCAGATCCTCCAAGCTGCTTGGCCAAGCTCCCAGGTCAAGCCTTCAGATGACTAGAGCCCCAAGACTACGTAAATATCTCATTCCTGCTCCAAATCTTGCCCACTGATTTTAGCACCCATCAATGGATCTTGTTTGCAAAAATTATTTTAGGGTATTTCTCTAATGGTAATTCCCCCTGCTCTAGCCTGAAATCAACTACTTCTCCAAGGAGCTTTAATTCCTCACAGTGGGGTATGGTGTTTAGAAACCAAGCTCTGAGTGCTACTTGTGCTCATTACTACAGGGGTGCCACTGCTTCTAGGATATTTTAGAGGATGGATTTACAAAACATTATGTATGGATATTATCCCATGTATTCACGTACATGTATGTTGGAGGTGTACCTTCAGCATAGATTCCTAGAAGTGGACTTGCTGGGTCAAAAGGTAAGTACATGTGTAGATTCTTTGGTATTTCTCTCCACATTCTGGGTTATATCAATTTGTATTCCTTCCAGCAATCTAAGAAAGCATTGGCTCTCCCATAGTCTCACTAACTTTTAAAATACATTGTCCTATTTAAAAATGTTTGTTTTTTTGCTAGGTGAGAAATGATATCTCAGCATTGTTTTGATCTGCATTTCTCTAATTATGAGTATGAACATTTTTAAATGTCTAAGGGCCATTTTTAGCTCTTCTTGTGAATTGTCTGTTCATATCTTATGCCTATTCTTTCACTTATTAGTCACCTGAGCACAGCCTTTGTTTGCACGTATGTTAAATAGCATAATAGTACCTAGTCCCTCAGCCTCACCAGGTTATGATAACTGAATGTGAAAGTAAGCTGCAAAATTTAAATTATACAATATGTTTTCAAGCATAAGAATATATAATTACCAAAATAATGTATACTGCTACACTAGTAAGCATATATAAATATGTTTACTGGTATAAAAGGCTATTTTTTCCCATAGATGAAAAAATATAGCTGGAAATACCAGAATCCACTTGCATTGGAAAAGGCCTCAGAATTACACTAAGAATCCCTATTCTGGATTTCTTCACTATTTCTCTGATGTAAACCCAAATTCTTTCACCACAAATAGAAATCTTCAGACTTTAAAGGAGTATGGAAAACTGGGATAATTAAACACAACAAAAAACACACTACACTGATAAAATACAAATAAGCACTCAGCTCGGATTTGCCTTTTAGAGCAGCCAGGGGGCTCAAGGAAAGAGTCTTCCCTTGAGTTTAGGAAGCGGTAAGGAGTGTAGGATACTCATTAATGGAACACAGCCTTGGAGTCAGATGACTGTGATTTGAATTCTCATTGTTTTATTTACAAAATGTGTGTCCTCAGTTTCCCCATCTGTATAACAGGGGAAGTAACACTGTCTCTTACATTTAGTGGGAGTTACTAACAAAGTTTACAAATTATCAAGCAGAATTCTTGGCACACAGCCATCTCCAATATATGGCAGTTATTAGTATCCTCATTATTATTAATAAGTGACATATTTGGGAGTGTGCCCTCCAGTAGAAGGTCAATTAAGGGAGAATTCCCTTTGGCATGCAGCAAAAGGTACTGATGCTCTTCTGTACTTGTGCTTCATGAAAGGAGTTAGAGGCAACAGCCTCTAGAGACTGTGATTCATCCACTTGAGCCAAGGACACAAAATGGGACACGACAGAGGGAGCACATCTCTCCTCTAATATACACGAAAGAGCTTGTGCAAATTAAATGAGGCTACATGCAAGGACCATAACACAGAGTTAAATAAAAGCTGACACTTGCTACTTCTTACAGTTAGACTTCCCTATCCTAGCTTTATAGGAAAAAATGAAGAGTCGATAATTTAAATACGAGTTGGTTTAGATCTTATCTTGGGTTTTCAATATTCCAGAGACTTCTTTTTGCATCTCTGTGTCTGGGGAATGCCTGTTTTATATAGTATGCCCACGATGGAATGAACTATTTTCTATTGGGGCTGAAAGAAAACGTCAATCGGCTGTGCTCAAATCTATGGCCCATCAGCCAGTATACCACACGGACGTGAATATACAGATGCTTAAACTTCCCAAGTTATAGAGTTGCATATAGAGTAAGAAAAAGCAGTATTAAGGTGACACAATGTAGTGGGCTTTGGAGTCAGAGCTGAGTCTGAATCCTGGCTTTCCACTTGCTAACTGCTTCACGATGCTGGGGGAAATTCAATGCTCCACGCCTGTTACCTCCACTGTGACATGGAGATAATAAAACCCATGTCGCAGGCTTGTTATGAAGATTTAACAATGTACATAATGCCAGCTTGATCCTTTGCCTACTCATTGGTGCTCAATACATCTTAGTTTTTACCTCTCTCTTCTGAATATAAAGAGAAAATCACAGAAGAGCACAGAATTATAAAGAGAACCAGGCAACTCTTGCTTTAGCTGACGCAGCACAGCCTGCTGGCGAGGCTGAGACACCTAACACCCAGCAAGGTCACAGGCTGTACAGGCAATGCGGTGACAACTCATGAGAGCGTGCTCTCGGCCAGAAAACTGTCCTCTCGCAAAACCTCAAGCACAACGGAATGGCCTTTTTAATCATATTGAGGCTGAAATATAAGTATTTTTTGCATGGAAAAGCTTTGAGTTATTTCTTCTATTCTTGAAACAGGAAATCTTCACACAATAATTAACTTTGGAAGATGCCATTGATCTACCAGCTAATGAGCTCGTTTGCTTGCTTCTTACTTAAGACTTTCCAAGTTACACAGTTAATTTTAATGTACCGATATCTTGCAATAAACTAGATCATGCAACAGTACTTTTCCAAGTTCCTGTGCAAAAATGCTCAGTATGTGAACTTTATGAAGCCAGGAAGTGAACATCTGCATAGATGCTAAAGCCACAAAGAACTTTTTCATGTGGCTTTTTAAAGTGCTGTACTGTGTCTGAAATGTTTTCCCTTTTTCCTTCCAGACTCTCAGATCAAAGTATTGTTACTTACAAATTAGCAAAAGCGAGCAGTCTTGCACAAACTCCAATTCTTTTTTATTCAACTTCAAGGCTCTGGCATATGCGGTCCACATGGCTGGGGATGGAACAAAAAGGTCCTGTGTGCCTGGGCTCTTGCTTTTTAACTACACTGTAAAAGCGAGCCCGGAATGACAGCCTGGGCCAGGACCGAGCAGGATCTGTTTACCGCAACCTGACCAGGGTGAACCTCACTTCTTTTATCAAAAGATGAATGATGGATTCTCTTCAAAAAAATGATGGGGCAAGAGAAACCACAACACCAAAGCAATAGACCAAAATAGGTTGTTTAGAGTGCTCTATCAATATTACACCAATTATCATAGTTTGATAAGTCAGATCTTTTATTAGTCATAATTACATTTTTAATTCCTATATAATGTGAGTATCTTCATAAAGAATTTAGAGTAATTTACAGTGTATTCAAAAAATGCTTTAAGCTAATTTAAATTACCTACATGATGCCTTTTATAAAGAGAACTTTTCAACCACATTTTCAGAATAAGGATTTTTTAAGTGCAGCTTCTTCAAATATATACTCCACTAAATCTTCTACATAATCATAATCTTTCCGATCTATTCCACTTTTACAAAATAATATTTCACAGTGAATTATAATTTAATCAGATGCTTCAACAACTGTTAAAATAAATGGATTTTGTCCGGCCAGGCGTGGCTCAGCGGTTGAGCATCAACCTGGGATCCAGGTGATCCAGGTCCGATTCCCGGTCAGGGCACATGCCCGGGTTGCGGGCTAGGCAGCCCCATCAATGACTCTCTCATCATTGATGTTTCTCTCTCTCTCTCTCTCTCTCCCCCTCCTTTCCTCTCTCTGAAATCAATAAAGATATATTTAAAAAGAAAAAAAAAAAAAGGATTTCAATGAATTTGAATGACTGGCATGTCCCTTTGCTGTTGGTGTAAGTATGCAGTTGTCAGCATCTCTATATCAGATCCTGTTCCACAGTCCAGGTAATAAACGCTTACACGCAAAGGGCTAGACACTTGCTAGGTGCTTGAGCTATAAAAGTGAAGACACACACAGTTCCAACCCTTCCTTACAGTCCAGGGAAACAATCAAAATAGTTCATATTGATTGAGCGCTTATGTAGTATTTATGAGTGATACAAGTGTTTTAAATGGATCTTATTTCATTCTCACAAGAGTGCTAGGAAGTGGGTATTACTATTACCCTGTTACGGAGCCTTATACAAATGAAAAAGCCTTTTTAAGCCCAAGCTCACACGGCTACTCAATGGCAGAGCTGGAGTTGGAATGCAGGGCTGCTACTTCACTCAGATGTAAGACAACCTCCCTCAACAGACCACTTCCATTGAAGCAGGGCATTCCCACCTACCTAGGAAATGACACTACTGAGTGGGCTGTGTGGGTGCTGTGGGTGCCCAGAGGGCTGGAACTGGGCCCAAGCATCCAGGTGTGACATCAGGAGGCATTGCCAAAGAGACGAGTGATGAATAAAACATCACTCAGCTTCCTTTAAAAGCCCAGATCACTGTGAGATAGTCCTGTCTTATAGATTCAGGGTAGTAATTTCAATAAGTACCAATAATTCCTTTGGAGGAGGCCAGAGAAGGAGACTTCATGCTGCCTAGCACAGACTCGGGAATTACAAGAGCATCTCTCCCTGCACCACGGCAGCCAGCGTGGACAGCGAAGTGGCTTCACTCTGCATCTTGAGCTTGTTGCTCAGCTGGACTTGGACCTGTTTCCCACCCCTCAACCGCCCCCCCAAAATCTGAAGAACTTCACTGAAAACTATAGAAGCTCCGGATTCTTGCTTTAAAGTCAACTGACAATGTCTTCCAGACTTTACTATTTAAAAAACTCAAGTTCCAGAACCAAATCAACAAAAACTGTCCTGGCAAAGATTCTGCTCATGGCTGTAGCCCTCATACTCTTTATTTTGCTAAGTGTCACATCTGTACCTGTTAAAGAATGACACTTCCCTCTTCCCCTTTTCAATTGATATTTGAGAAAACAGGGTTAGCTTTTTCTTACTAATCGCTCCCTACACCCAAATCCTACTCCAAAACTTAAGAGAAAAACATACATTTGTCCATTTAAGGCTCAGCTACTCTTGGTGGACTTTCCTCGTGAAACATTAGCTTAGCCAATACAACATAGTAATCTATTGTGAAAGTCAATATTATTATTTATTATTTAATATTAAATAATCCTATTAACTCCCTAAGGAAACCTTAAGGCAAAGACCTGATGTGATGAAAGAAAAATGAAGCAGAAGTTACCATCAAGATGTGGAGAGGGTCAGATGAGCAAGCAGCACCAGGGTGAGGAAAAGAATTTTTGCTACAAATACTTGCAACAAGAGCTCAAGAGGGAACATCGAACGTCCATTTTCTTAAAGAAATAATCATTCCAGAGTTATCACCTTACTCCTGAAACAAAGTCTGTCTGGACTGAAATGAATAGAATAATTGCTATTTTCCCCCTTGCTTTTAGTAGTTTTTGAACCTTGTGTTCAAGCCCTTCTTTTCACTTTCATCCTTATGCCTTTGATTAGGGCCTGCCTGACAATCCCTGCAGAACATGAGACAGAGCACAACTTGAGTGGCCTCTTTGGGTCTCTCCTTGGAAAAATCCTTTTCTTTGCATTTTCTTACACTTTCAGAAGCCCAGAGGTTAAGTCACAACTCTGAGAGCTATTTAGTGTAAAGAGCCATATTGAACCAACAACAAATACATTGCAGGGCTCTATTAAACCTCACAGCACTAGGCTCAAGTGGTTCATTTCCCCCTTCTCAGTGAAAGTCAGAACAGTGGATAAAGCCTGTTTGTGGATTAATCTGTCACTCAGCTGTCATGGGATAGTTATAATACGGGCATCCTTTGTTCTTAGAGATGCATCTTTTCATCTTAAAAAGATGAAAAGAGTGTTAATGATCTAGATGGTATTACAAGTGACTTAAGTCACCCTTACATATAGCTCCTATCATGGCTTTCTGAAGAGGCCACAGGCTGATATTCCTTTAAGAAGGCCCATAAAACACTGCTTTTTCTCCTAAGTCAAACTTCTTGGCAAGAAATGGGATTCAGTGTGTAGCCCCCAAAATAAAATTCCTACTTCCAGTCACTGGCAGAGATATTACAACGCCCATTTCATAAGCCTTCAAGTTGCTCTATTATGCTCGTGGAATCGTGGTTAAACATGGGGACCTTCCATTTGAAGACCTGAGTTGTGTGTTTACACATGGTATCGCCAACTACTGTAAAGAGCAGCCCTACTGGCTAAGTTTCCAAGAATACTCCAGTTCTCTGAGGAAAGGCAGTGAATGAATTTGTAAAGAAATGGATGAGACCACGAGAGAACTGCCACATGAGGCTGCCCAGAGAAGGCTCCAAGAGATGAGAGACAGGATAATCTGTGACGATGAGGAAATTGAAGTTGACGGAAATATTAAGTCTCAGTCTTTTTTTTTTGTTTTTTTTTTAACACCATGAAGGTGGACTGGGAAAGGGAATTCAATTCTGTCTTCGGCAAGAGGATAATTAAGTCCACAGCTGTCCTTCTATGAAGCTGGTGCCCTTGAGCCCTTTCCTGGACCTCCTTGATGAACCCAAGCTGGCCAACGCTAAGGACTGTCCGGACAGAGCCAAATGAAGCACGCACTGTGACATGGGGAAACCAGGCTAGGACCTGGGTCTGAGGATTTGGAACCTGGTGCTTGTTCCTATATAATTGTTCTCTAGCATTTATTTTTTTAAAGCCTTTTACGTACGATATTTCTCTCGCTTGAAAAGATGCTCTGATTTCTTTGAAATGTAGCTTCCTTCTGAAATGGTTTATTTTGTTAATTTCATGAGTACAGAATTTAATTATATTTATAGAAAAGTAATCTTAAATTAGATAATTATTTATTACTCAAATTCATTTTCATGTCTCCAAGACAGATATATATATACGTAAAATATATACAATACACATGTGTACATATACACATATTTCAATTCCCTTCTCAGAGTAAATCACCTCATATCTCAGATTTTTATCCCTAATCAAATTTTTAGCACAGCTTTCTTTTCTAAACTGTAAAATTCAAAACTGAGGTAAGCTTTGTTTCCTGGGTAGGATGCCTTCTTCATTGCAAAGGTAGGTTTAGAGAGGCAGCCCCTCAACATAACAGAATGAAGAAACAGTTCCTAGTCAAGGGACCGAGGGCTTTCCATCTTAGTCTCCAGCCTCTCTGCTTTCTCATATACACACGCTCACTTACCAAGTGGCAAAAATGCAAGACGGTTTCCAGCCATGGAGAGCTCGTTGAGGCTGGGCAGCTGGCAGAGGTGGCGCGGCACACACCACAGCCGGTTTCGGTCCACGGTGAGGTACTGCAGAGAAAGGCACAGGTGAAGCCTCTCGGGTAAAGTTAGCAAACGATTGGTAGAAATGTCTAGTGTCTGCAGCTCCTTCAAATCGCCAACCTCTACAACCAAAACCAAAATGAAGATAAATCGCATCCTGATGAAATTAATTGAGTCGATTAAATAAAATGAATCAATACTTTAACAGTTCAACCAAATGCAACCAGTAGCTGCAGCTATTTCCATGGGTGCGAATGCTGAGGTACGGGCTTTGGGCCTAGCATGCAAATAATCCAACCGGGTAGGTGTCTTTAAATAAGCCAGAATTTTTTTAATGGAGAAAGTGCTGGCATAGGAAGAAGGAGAGACACAGCGGGGGGACAGGAGCCAGAAGCCTGTCACTATGGCTTCTGCTCCTTGATGAATCAAAAGTTACTGGGGCGAGAAAAGACGAGTCACGTCAAGGTATCTGGTTTCTGCTCCTTTTGTGATTTTTACCGATCTAAGTAGATAGTAGGAGACTTGAAAACATAAATTATAGTATTCCAGTAAGTGTTCATAGGAACTGAACAGAAACTTCCTGGACTAAGGTGCTTTTGGAAATTTTTACCACGGTAAAGATTACAATGATAAAATGAAATTACTGGTAGGCAACATTTTTAGATATTGTCCAGCCATGTGACTTCCTTTTATAAGCCCACTCAAAGTGTACATATCCTGTGACGACTGCCTTAATTCCACCCAAATGAAATCCTTCTGTTTACTCTAATATTCCCTCATTGTCGATGTCCACATTTGTAATCTGTCCTGTGGTGAGTACAATTATGTCCCTGTCAGTGACTAAACCACAAGTGAGTTCTTTACGAGGCACTCTGTGCTTCTCAGGGAGAATCCCCGTGGAGCACCTCTGAACAGAGGACCCTCTCCAGGGCAGGGGCATGTACTCTGTCCCAGGACAGCACAATCCACTCAAGTCCCCACAGGAAGCTCTGTGAGGACAAGTCTAGCTCTTCTGCACCGTGGAACGTCCAAGGTGAAGACTGCTGTGATGCCCTCTCCCCACCTTCTCCAGCCCTGTCCCTGTCCCATGAGCTCTTCCTCCCAGGCTTAGGGCTTCCCATGCTCCCGCCACTAGACTGTACCCCACCCCCGGGGTGCATAATCCAGTTTGTTCAAGGCTCAGATTAACATTAGGAATGTCTTCTCTACTGGACAGAAAATCTACTGCCCTCTTGATGCACAATGACACAGATTATTTTTCTTACTGCTACGGACCAGGGGTTGCAAACTACAGCTCACAGGCAAAGTCTGGCCCATGGCCCCCTTTTGCACTGCTCGAAAGCTATGACTGGTTTTTACATTTTCAAGGATGGTTAAAAAAACAAACCAAAAAAACCCAGAAAAAAAACATGTGACAGAGACCCTATGGGGCCTGCAAAGCCTAAAAATGTTTACTATCTCACTATTTACAGAAAAAATTTGCCAGTTTTTGTTAAAGATGTACTGTAAACAGGAGCATTTTTAATAACTGTTTTTAAATAAAATTAATACAAGTACAAAATACATTAATTTCTAATTATGTTAAAATAAAAAAGTAACACAAAACTTTTCAAAAATAAAATTCTTCATAAAAGTTAAAAATAAAATGTATATGAAAGCAAAGTTTTAAAAATTCCATATATTGATTATCTAGACATTAGAAATAAGAATAATTATTCCTGGTATAAATTCATATCATTTAATCAGTTTCTTAGCTATTTTTATTTCTAGTAATGTGTTACTGCATTTTTCTAAAGTCTTTTTTCAATATGGTATTATGTTTCTTTTTAATAAAATTGTCTATAATTAATTTTATCCTTAATAAGTTTATATTACTGACACCTTCAAAAATATTCATTGATATGTCATCTTGAAATTAATGAAGTATTACTGATAGAGTTACAATGAATTCTTTTTGGAATATTAGTCGAATCCTACTCTTTTTGGCGGTCTCCCTGTCACCACACTGTTCCCCAAGGAGTAAACATCAGTCTGTAGACTTTCTTTCCTCAGAGAGCCTAGAATAACCCTAACTTCACAGTTGTTTGCACTGTTTCCTTTTATGCTAAATCTACAATACCTTAAAACTTTTCAGCTACTTATAGAGTATCCTGAAAATGATTTCATTGCTGCCACACAGTAATTACTTACACAAAGCATAAAAATAACATTAGAGTGCAATTTCGAAAGGGAAAGCAGTAAGTTCCCTCTAAATCATCGTTCACGGCCTATGTGCACTGACCTAATCTAAAATTTAAATGGAATGGGAAGGAAGCCACCCACTCCATGCCAAGCCAGTGACCGCAGAGTCAATAACAAGGCTTGGTATTTTTCAAGCACTGGCTTTTTCCGGTACCACTAAAAACAGCTCTAATTTGAGCTCCAAAGCAAACCAGGTTAGGGAGAGCATCCAGAGAAATAATGGAGAATATTTCAGGGCCAAGTTCCATCCTATGTAACAGGAAGTGCCCTGTTCCCTTCCCCTGGATTGGGCGGTGGAAGGCACATGCTCTGGTCCATAGAAATAGGTTCAAGCCATCATCCTATCATTCATCGGCTGTGCAACTTTGGGTTATTTACTCAAATATTTACATCATTCGTTTGATGTTTAAAAAATCATCTATAAACAAATGATAGAATAAGATGTACCTAAAGTGATTAAATGAAATATCCCATGTAAGTCAATAATACATGGCAGAAAACTATTTCTTTTTAATTTTCAGCTCATTATGCTACATAATATTGTAAATATAAATTCTAAATATAAATATCTTTTGAATCGATGCAGTTTCATTATAGAAACAATTATGAACACAGTATGTGCATGTTTGTTATACAACATAGAGAAAGGGGCTCTTAGAAAGATGCCTTTCAGAAAATGGGCAGGACTGCCTTCCTTGGTCAAATAAAAAAATTAAAACCAATCAGAAGGAGCCTGCTATATATTCATAATTTGGAATATGTGGCAGGTTATGTTTAATAACAAATAATCACAATGGGAATAAAATTAACAAATATCGGAAAGCTCAATGAAAAAAAATATCTATTAACAATGCACTTGTCTAATATGAGCAATACCAAATGAGCAATTAAGACGTCCTCTTAATTTTAAAAGGCAATTAAATATTATTTGGAAGCTTTAAAATAAAATTCTCTAAAACATCTAACATCTAAGAAACACAACAGGCACTGACATGACTTAAATATTTATGCCTGGGTGTCAAGCTTGGCAATTAATTCCCAATAGAAATTTAAAAATGTTAAAGGCATGCTTCAAAACAGAAAATCATATTGTTTGGACATTTTACCTGGTGCTCTGTGTATGATTAAATTATGCACAAAGTTTCTTTCAGTGTTGCTCAAAATAAGCTATTTACCAGGTGTTTATTGGTTATCTACGTTGATCTGACACTTAAGGTGCCTAGCAAAATGTCACTGAGGATATGGTATAAGATAAGAAAAAAGTATTCTGAGCGCCAACTATAATATAACTGCTAGACAGAAATGGTCCATAGCTCTTCTTTAGATACATTCTGCCTTTGAAATTCAAAAGTGTTTATTTTAAAACTTAGCATCTTTATTACTGCTTTGTGTCAATACATAGACTACTACTTAAAAAAATCCTTTAATGTCCTCATTCTGCAAGATTCATAGAGATCACATACGCAGATTTTCATTTGATGCTATTTTTTTAGTGATTGTCTATTTCCCAGATTTCTTCTAGGTGGGCTTTTTCCCTCTTTACTGAGGTAACACAATAGTTTTTCACCTGAATGAAATCACCAGGCGTCCATTGTTGGCATAAAACTGCCTCAAGGAATATCACAGATTTGTAGTGCAGAATAAAAATTTATTTTTTATTTTACTCCTTTGCAAAGGAAAACGACAAGCAATCCGTATGTCACTACCTGAATAAAATATCATTATGATGATTGCTTTCATCTCACTTTCTAAGCTCAAATTAATACAGGGAGAAATTTTAAAGAGAATTTTTTTAGTGTATGTACATTTCAAATTGATCCTTTCTAGTTTATCTGAAATTCCCATAAGAAAAGTAACTACCTCTAAAAATAGAAAGTAGTGGGAAAAAAGGGTGATTCTGCTGATAGGACACTTAGAAACTACTGAAAACATCATGTTCAACACAGGAACCATAGTTTTGAAAAAGTTCCCCATGAATTAAAAGAATTCCACATTAAATTCAAACTATACTCAGATTTCTAAACATTTGCCCTCTATAAGAAACTCACATATAACAACCACTAGCAGCATGAGAAGTTTTACCTTAGAGAAGTCTGAATTTGTACATATTGGTTGCCAATCTTAAGACAAAAGCAACAAGTCTCTAGATTTCATACCTGCTATTGATTAGAGTTATGAGGAAGCCATCAGCGGAATGGAAACAAAACGAACTCAGCAGTGATTAATATCAAGGATAGAAATGAAATGGAAGCTCAGAAAGATGTTACCTTTTCATTTTTAAACTTCCCTATACTGTTTAAATATTTATGTCCATGCTCATCTATTACTTTTGAATTAATACAAAATTAAATTAATCACATGCTAACATGGTACTTCATCACACACTTTGGGGTTCCTTAGAATAAGAGATGCAACAATTCTGAAATTTGGATTTCAGATTAACATTTGGATTTCCTAATGACGTTTCAGTACACTGAAACACAACGCAACAGAAAACAAACATTTAATGCACATGTACAAACAAATTTATACTGTTGAGGGTCTTACAAGTTCTGTCATAAAATGAAAACAAAATCAAAGTTTATAAAGTTTCTGTTAAATATAAGTATTAGACAATTTTATGGTACTTCTAAAGAGAACACAGAAAAGTGTATTTCTGTGTATTTTCAGGTTTCTATTTAGTCGCCAACCTTGGAAGAAGGAGAACTGTCTTGTCACGAGCAGGTCACTACACACCGGAGTTCAGACCCTCGCGCTGCGCTCCTAAGCCCCTGCTCGGGCGCTGTATTAACAAAGCTGCCAACGCGCCCGTAACAGGAGGCAACAGGACGACCGACGGAGCAGAGTGAAAACCGCAAGCCCACAAAGGACACCGAACAGT